ATTATTATTATTATTTATTATTTATTATTATTATTATTATTATTATCATTATTATTATTATTACTATTATTATTATTATTGTTATTATAAACAGTGGTAGAAATTATTTCCTGAATACCTATATATATTTTATTATGCTAAAATCTTACAAAACATATAATACCAATTAAAATTTGCATTACTATTTCCTTTTTTGCAAATTTATTCATTTAAAATTTGAATTTATTTGTTTCTTTGACTTATTTGCTTGCTGCTTAAATTAGTTTATTCAAAATTAAATTTTAATATTTTTTTTTGGAATGATTTTCTTTTTCTTTTTTTCTCATAGCAATATGGAACAAAGATTTAGATGATTATTTTAACAATCATTATATGAAATAATCAGCATCATTTTTTTAATCATTTTTACCGCCTGTCGCCTGTCTCAATAATTTGTCTTATCACTTTTCCCTTTTTCTTTTTTCCTTTTTTTTAATTCCTTCATAGAATGTTTAATACCTTATAATTTTTTTTCTTTTTATTTATATGATAATATTTGTTAAGGTCAATTCACTTTTTTTTGAAAGAATTTTGATAATAATTTGCCACTTCTCGGAGCTAAATTCATTGTTACAATGACATTTGGGTATTGATAATGTAACTTATAATGATATCATTAATAACTAATTGATAACAGTAATATTATCATAAATTTTATTAATTAACTTTTTGCTGATAGCTTAGAACAATAAAATAAAAAAAAAAGTAATAATATTAGACAACACATTTAATATTGGATATGACAAAAATAGTAATAACATTACACCAAAAAGATTCAACAATTAGAACAAATTCTGTTAGGATGTGAAATTATATTCCATTTTGTGTTCATATAACCATTATTTTAATAATATTGTAATTATAATTACAATTATCATTGTTATTATTATTATTATTATTATTATTATTATTATTATTATTATTATTTTATGATTATTACTATTACCATTATCATTATTACTATTATTATTATTAATATTATTACTATTGTCATTAGTCCTAATGTTAATTTTGCACATCGACTTCTCGCATTTTGCATGCCTTTTCTTGCTACAACATTAATGAAATGAACTAAAATTGCATAAGAAATGCACGACGAGTTGATATAAAAAAGCTGTGGCATGTCAAACTATGTTAAATGCATGCATTAGCAACAAGTAATTGGAAAAAGTACAAGGATTAAAGCATGAAGTAAGTAAAACCAATACCAATGTATATAAAACCAACAAACAGCATATAAGTTGATCCAAATTTCAAAAAATGCCAATTAACCAAAGTACTGCAGGAAAAACATATCAATGAAACTAACAGCATGCAGTCAGTAAACGACAAAATCCAGAAATGCATGCAAAAAGCAATTGAAGTAAAGTTCCAAAAAATACAAATAGTTCAAAATACTACACAAAAGATAAGTAGAACTAGCAAGACAAAACCAAAAAAATGCATGCAGGAAACAAGTTGACAGAAGTTTTTCAAAATGCAAATTGTCCAAAATATTGTAGGAAAAATATATAAGTGAAACAAACAAAAAGCATGCAGTTGGTGGAAGATAAAACCCGGAAACACATGTAAAATATAAAAAAATAAATTAACAAGTTTTAAAAAAATACAAACAGTCCAGAATTATTCAAGATGTAATCAGAAAGAAAAAGCATGCGGTTAATAAACGATAAAACTCAGAAATGCAAGCAAGAAATAAGTCAAGTAAAATTTTAAAAAAACGAATAATCAAAATATTACATATACAAGTTAATATTATGCATGTTAATATTATACATGCAATATAAGTGAAACTAACAAAATACATTAATAAAGGACAAAATCTAAAAATGCATGCAGAAAAACAAGTTAACCTTTCAGTTGACAAATGTTCTATAAAAACGGAAAATTAGAAAAATTCAAAAAATGGACAAAAACTTAAAAATTTCAAAAAATTCAAAATACAATATAAAAATTCCGAAAATCTAATAATTCAAAAATTAGAAATTTGGAAAAAAGGTTCATGTTTTTTGTTTTTTTTTTTGTTTTCAACAGTCTAACTACAATTTTAAATGTCCTATATACATATCTTCAAGAATTAAATTACGATTTCAAAAAAAAAAAAAAAAGAAAATTGAAACGAAGAACTTACACCTTCTAGAATTGAATTACAACTAAAATAGAACATAACATTAATCTCATCACAGAGCTAGAAAAAGTGCATTAAAATTCAAGTGTTATAAATTATGCTACATGACATCGTTGTGCAAAACAAGTTTTAATAAAAAAGTGTAAGATAGTGAAAAGGAAAGTTTCCATAAAGAAAAAGAGTGAGGAACGAAATTAATTAAATTTTGACCAAAGCACTCAATAATCTTCCAGTGAAAACAAATCTTCTAGAAATCCATAGATTTTTCCGGTCTTTTACCCATATTTGAAACTTAATTACTTTCACATCGTCAACAAATATTAATGAAAATAAGTATTGGGAATTGAGTACTATAATCTTAACCATAACAAAATACAAAAGATACAAAAAAAATTATGACAACGCTAAATTTTAATTGAGAAGAAAAATGAAAAAAAAAAAATAAGAGCAAAATTAAAGCAAATAATTCGTTGAACGATAAACACTAAACAAATATTGCCTGCCTAAACGGGATTATTAAAATTGAAAAATAAAGGTAAGCAACTAAATTCAAAAATGAAGTTAAAAATTTATTTTTCTAGTTTTCACTATAACACTATTAATAATGTATCATATAATATTATAAATGAATCGTTTAAATATCCATAAATTTTCCCAATCTCTCTTATCACATATATTTTGAATTTAATTGCTTTTACACTCAAGGTTATTTTAACAATTCCAAAACATTTTCTCTTTTATTTTTTACTTTTTCTGACTTTTTTATCTTTTTTTTTTATTTTTCTTTTTCCTTTTTTCTTTTTTATTATTTTCCTTCACTTTTTTTTTTATTTTTATTCCCTTTTTTTTTTGTTTCTTACTTTTTGTTCTTTATTTTTTAGTTTTTTATTTTTTTCATTTTTCAATTTTTTAATTTTTTTTTATCTTTTCTTTATTTTTTTTTTTTTTTTGAAATTCACTAGCCCTCTTAACCGATTTCGCTGAATGGAGGATGGAGAATTGCAACAGACAGTGACAGGATGGTCGTGTGTGGAGTGCCATATAATGTTAATTGGCTTGAAAAAAAAAAATTCATTGATTAGGAAATCTGCAAAATTAACTTTGCAAATTCTTTTATTTTCTATAGCTATTCGAATCTTTTTTTGTCTCCAAAATTCACTTGACAAATCCGTCAAAAGTTTTTCATTTGGGATAAAGAGATAGCAGGTATCCTTATCACTCCCTATAAGATTCAATCTACAGCTTTTCATCTGTCTTTCGTTAATTACGGCCGCACAAACCCTTAAGCACCAATTGAGGGCATGAATTTCCATCGCTACTGTCCGCTATGCAACCGTAAATCCAGGTAGCAAAAGGAGGTAATGGCTATAGCGAGCGCAATCTCCAATATATATAATTATAAGTAGGCTAGCTTTTAGATGAATTAGATGCATCAAAATTAACTCAAAATCCTATTTTAAAATATTTACCGTCCTGCTTGTGCGTCCTCGAAGCATGAATGTGCCATCCTTTCAGTGTTATCAAACTGCCTACCGCAGATACCGTATACTGAAAGTACAAAAATATTCTGTGTAAAAACTGTTTATTAGAGCAGTCTTACTTTTCCGGTTGATTGCTTTGGTTAAAATGAAATCACGATAAAATATGGAGCATTCTATCGTAATATACAGATGTGTATCATTTTCAATGTTGTTAAAGGCATAAATTACCGATACTGATATTTTCTTCCGCTCGAACTACCGTGTACGGCTCATCTTACAGTACTTTTAACTCGTCGGAGTTGTTCCGGAAGGCCTCCTAGATCTGGGATGAAATGCTTCCAGCATCATTGCACCAGGATTCTGATCGTTCTTGATCATCTAAAATAAATTTAAATTTAGCCGATTAATCCAAAATAGATTTAAATTCGGCCGAATTTATCCGTGATGACCAAAATTCAGTACTTGATTTAATGTCTTTTCCTAAACATTAAAGTAAAGCTTACAAGATGATTTCCCGAATTGCTTCCTCCGATTCTTTAACGGTACTTGTGTCCACTGGTAATGATAAATAATCAATTTTGTATGAGATTTATTAATTAAAAACTTTGTGAGATTTGCTGTTTAAAAGTTTTAATGAGATTTATTTG